GGGTCGGGACGGGTTGAGAGATTGGGATGGGGAGAAATGGTCGGGGAAAGGTTGGGATGGGTGGGTGGGATAGGCTCGGTTGGGTTGAGAGGTCGGGATGGGCAGGTGGGATAAGGTCGGGGAAAGTTTGGGACAAGCGGGTGGGATAGGCTCGGGATGGGCGGGAGGGTCGGGACGGTTGCAGCGACGGTTTGCTAAGACCAGTTGCAACAGACGGTTGCTGTAAGCGGTTACATCAACCAGTTGCTGTGACTGGTTACAACAACCGTTTGCAGCAACCGTTTGCGGTAACCAGTTGTAGCAAGAGGTTGTTGTAACCAGTTACAACAAACGTATTGAGTCTATTGACCCTGTCCCGCCCATCCCGACCCTCGTTACAGCGACCCTTTGCATAGTCAATAGGTTTGTTGTAACTGGTTACAGCAACCTCTTGCTACAACCGGTTACTGCAAACGGTTGCTGCAAACGGTTCGGTTGCTGTAAACGGTTGTTGTAACCGGTCACAGCAACCGGTTGCTGTAACCGCTTACGACAACCGTCTGCGAAGACCAACTTACAGCAACCGTATGCTAAGACCAGTTGCAACAGACGGTTGCTGAAAGCGGTTACAGCAACCGGTTGATGTGACCGGTTACAACAACCGTTTGCATCGACCGTTTGCAGTAACAGGTTGTAGCAAGAGGTTGCTGTGACCAGTTGCAGCAAACGTCTTGACCCTGTCCCGCCCATCCCGACCCTCGTTACAGCAACCGTTTGCAGGGTCAATAGGTTTGCTGTAACCGGTTACAGCGACTGGTTGCTACAACCGGTTACTGCAATCGGTTGCTGCAAACGGTTGTTGTGACCGGTTACAACAGCCGTTTGCAGCGACCGCTCACAACGACCGTTTGTTGCAACTTTGAACAAACGGTTGCTGTAAGCGGTTGCTGCAAACGGTTGCTGTAAGCGGTTGCTGCAAACGGTTGTTGTAACCGGTCACAAGTTGCAGGTTTGCTGTAACTCACAACAACCGTTTGCAGCAACCGGTTGTTGTAACCGGTCACAAGTTGCAGGTTTGCTGTAACTCACAACAACCGTTTGCAGCAACCGATTGTAGTAACCGGTTGTAGCAACTGGTTGCTGTAACCGGTTACAGCAAACCTATTGACCCTGCAAACGAGGGTCGGGATGGGCGGGACAGGGTCGGGATGGGCGGGACAGGGTCAATACGTT